TTCGTAATTATTGTAACCATTAAATTAATTCTATTTCTGCTTTCATAAAAACTTCTTCTTTTTTCTACTGAATGAACATCGAAATCAAAATTGGTCCAAGGAACTTTTTTTGAGAAAGAGGATGCATTCGGAGAATCAGAATTTCATGGAATTGTGCAATAGCAATATTTTTCCCAACTATTAAGACACTCTTAGAAAATTACCTATTACGTAATAAATAAAGCAACAAAATATCTTAGATTTAATTTCTTTGATGGAATATTTTATTTGAATAATAAGTCTACATAATAAAAATTAGATATAAAAATAATATTAACAGTATTAGTACAATGCATGTTTTGAATTATATATTTCAATTTAATTTTCATAAAATACATAGATTTATTGCAACTGGTATTTATATCTAAGCATAAAATTTATATGATATATGGAAAGATAAGCTTATTATTTTATTTACAGTCCAGTTGGCTCGATTAACTGATATTTGTTAGTATTACCCCCAAAATTTTTTAATTCCTCGACTAGGTCTTGTGGGTCTATTTTTCGGGAAACTATTAATGTTCGTTCATTTTTGGGACCATAACTATGCGACCTTAAACCGAGTTGTCTTGCAATCCTATAAAGAAATTGGAACGCATACTTAATATTTTTAATCCAACTGATTATTTCGAAAAATTGCATTAACGCACTTACTGATGGATTATTGCTCTTTCGTCACTTGTAAAATCGACAGAAAATACTAAATCATTTCTCATGTCACCTGAAAGGTACTTTCTCATGATGTCTTTACATTTATTTCTTAAATCTTTTGCAGAGCAAGAATTTTGCTTTAATCCGAGACCTTTCCTACTCATTTGCTGTTGAATCCTTAGATATAAAAGTACCATTTCTAAAATGTTTTACAAAACAAAATGAAGATTATACTTACATAACAGGTTCTACTATTCCCTGTTGTGATTTACCAAGACCACCACCAGTCCAACCCATTAATTTCATTAATTTTCTTCCAATATTGTCATCAGAGATAGCGTCATCTTTTAATGTAGTCATTGTCGTTGCAGTTACATTAGCATTCCTATTTATATTGTGTTTAATCTAAACATTAAAATAAAGCTTTGGTAGCAGCTCAATATATATGAAAATAAAAACAAATCTTTTTTATAAACCTTGATCGTATAATAATACTTCTGTAGTTCATGTAATCCAGAAATGGATGCTTCTTTCTTCGCTGACTTTTGGTTAGAACTACAACCTTCCGCTAACAGTTTCGAATTTATAAAAATATTACATTTACTATAAAAGAAAAAGAAAGAAATAGAAAGATAATCCTGAGGAACGAGGAAAATGAAAGGAATGGAAAAGATACATATATGTATACTGTATACATACTAAGAGTCCTTAATTTTATCAAATTTCCATTCTAAATTTCCACCTGACACACTGACTGCATTAGTAAGTATATTTTGTGGTATATCTCCAACCCTTTCTATTATAACAATATCGCCAAATGGAGCCTCCTCCAATCTCCTTCGTTTCACAGGTACTTTATTAGATGATAAATTATGTGATAACTTTGTGTTTTGTAATTGTGCTGATGTTTTGGTTGTATTAGAAGACGCTGTTGAAGCAATTCTTCCTAAAAAATTATTCTTTAAGAAATGCACTTAAGGGACAGGTTTTCTTACACTTCTTTCATACTCAGCACATGGTAGAACTCACAGCTCTTAGATATACCTTTAACCTTTGAACTAGCAGCATCCGAAGCTTCCACAACTTTTCTTTGCAGTTTAATTTTTCGTTTTTCTCTATATTCACCAACAATATCTTGAGCTAACTCTGCAATTAATTGCATCGTCTCTTTAGGATATCTAAAAATAAATGTTATTTAAATATATGTAAAACGACTCATAAAAATATTTGAGCTAACGATTGGCAGCTAATAACTGCACCCACAGTAATTACGTTTTGTTTATGTCTATTGCTTTATCTCATTGAACAGGTTATACAATATATTTATTGTGAACATATATTGATAAAAAAATAGTATGCAGTACGAATAGCCATCTTAGATATATCTAAATAGATCCCATTAAATACTGTGACTTATTAATACAATAAATAATTGCTTATTTAAATACTTGTACAATTTTTGCAAAATTCATACTTGTATCTTGTAGCATCTATGCATATTTCCAGATTTGTTTGAAATTTTATCAACATAATCATGATACTCGAGTCTCATTTACAGTGTTAATGAAGTTTGGAAATGTTTCATATAACATTTATAAAAGACTAGTATGGGTTTGAATACTTTTGTGAGTTACAATATACAAACATATAATAAAACAAACTGCAAATTAATAAGACATAGATATCACATTTTAGATTAAACACTACCTGCAACCAAGCAATTCCACGTTTGTAAATACTTGAGCTAAACACACAAGTTCATCTTCTGGAAATTTATCCTTATGAGCTAAAAGAAATTTGCGTCTAAGTTCCCAATGTTCGTCACATTCATGTTCTGTCTTATATCGTTCTACGTCCCAATCATCCTCGCCGCTCATTTTCATCACAATATCACACGTTTTATATGACAAATTACAAATTTATACATAAACACACTGGATGTGTAACATTTGTTACAAGTTGCACAAAACTTTCATGTAGATGTCTTATTAAAAGTATTTCAAACGCTTTTGTCTGACTTACGTGAAATACGTTACAAGAAAGAAATATAATTAAAAATTTCAATATTAAGAAATAATGTATTATCGCAAAATGGCTTACATAGCAATAACACCATGGACAAAATGTAACATAGATTTGAGATCTTAGGAAAGCTTAGAACTTAAGAAATTAATTAAGATTAGCGATGGAAAGATGGAACTAATCTCTTTATGAGGAAAATAAAAAACAAATTTTTCGGTCTGTAAAGCAAATTCTTGAACTATTCAGGAATTAAATTGAGCCTTTAACTCTCAAAAATATTTCATGTATAATATCATTCCGATTTTCTACGTATTGGTATTAGTTTATTTTCTGCTTCATGACAATAATTTACAAATTTGCCGAAGGGTGGCGTTATTCGGGAACTACTTTACATCATAACGCTATTTTCTTATTCTCAGATACTGCAGTCTCATTCGCATGCAATGCGTTAGTCCTCCTTTTCAAATATTCTAATTTATACCGTTACATCTTGTAACCACAGCATAGCTTAGATGTCCTATGTAATTAATGCAAAATGCTCTATTTTGTGCACTATAGCGCCTTCTACCAGCGAGTCAGTAGTTGTAACATAGAACAAAATTTTTAATTGATAGAGAGCGCTGATCTTTGACATAAGATATGGCATTTTACACCAATTCTATGTAATGAGTTAATTACGTAAGGAATCGAAATAATATTATACAGAGAATATTTCTGAGAGAAAACATTAATTTAATTCCTGAATAGTTCAAGAATACGCCTTATAGACCGAGAAGTTTGATTTTTTTATTTTTTCATAAAAAAATTAGTTCCAGCTCTTTACAACTAGGTGGTGATAGTATTTTCTAATTGGCACGCAAATTAAAAAAAGAACTATTTCCACTGTTGCATATTGGTTTGGAATATAGTATCTTCGTGCTGAGAATACTTTTCATACCACAATAAATATGGCAGATATTTAGGGAAACCGTATTTATTTAACTGGTTCACTATGTACATATATCGTAATAATACATATATATCGTAAACTGGTGTGCGAAGTTGAAACTAGTTCTTTTTTGTGTTCATAGGTATATGAAATTACATAGGAATATGTCTATAGGTATATATTAGATCAATGTGCCGAAATTAATGATAAAAAATATAAGTAACATAATCTGAACGTAATTAATGAAATATGTATTGCATTTATATTAAATAAGTCTGTTTTAGCAATAAATGTGCATGACATAATTATCTGTCGATAGTATAGAAAATTAAAAGTATACGCAATGACTTCTATCGTAACACGAACAATTTCATCTAAATGTAAATATCTCTCTCTCTCTCTTCCCTTCATTCACTTTTTTATTGTTTAAATGTTTCTTCAAGTTATTGTAAACTTTAAGCATGTTGTTCATTGCAGTATGGAGAAATTGGAGTGTTTTGCGACCATTACTCACATATTGCTCGAAGCATAAATTATCCACAAAACCTGAAGTGCAACAAGAAATTAAAGATGGTAAAATTTTTATATCTCACATACTTGTTTTTATTTTTTTCTGAATAAAATATAAATTTATAATATTTCAGTTTCAAACATAGAGAGTCTAGAAGATATAAATCCATTAAGTCATCCAGATTTTTTTCATGTTTATGATATGTTTACTGTCAAAGACTTGTTTGATGCAAGAGTACATTTTGGTCATAAAGAAGGTTCTTTAAATGATCATATGAGACCTTTTATATTTGGATCTAGGCTAGGTCACCTAATAATCGATTTAGATCAAACCGCTGAACTTTTACGACAAGCATTAAATTTCACAGCCCACATAGCTTCCAGAAATGGAATAATTTTGTTCATAGCAAGAAATTCTCAAATTTCTTATCTTGTAGAAGAAACTGCAAAGCAATGTCAAGAGTATGCTCATACAAGGCTTTGGAAGCCTGGAACATTTACAAATGCCATATGTGAATTTGGAGCTGTTACCAGATTGCCAGATTTGTGTATATTTTTGAATACCATGCAGTCTGTTGTTGAACAACACATAGCAGTGATCCATGCAGCTAAAATGTGTATTCCAACAATTGGTATTGTAGACACAAATTGCGATCCTAAACTTATAACATATCCAATTCCTGGAAATGATGACACACCTTGCGCCATAGAGTTGTATTGCAAATTATTTAAGGAAGCAATAATGAGAGGCAAGAAATATAGGAATGAAATGCTTGCAAGGGATAAAATATAGTATAATTTCTGATCGAGTACTATAAATCTGTAAAAATCTTATAAGTAAATTTTTTAATTATGAATATATTGTTTTTATTGAATTTATATAGTAAATATAACAAAGTTAAAAATTGCACAAAGCTACAATTATAAATTAGTGAATCAGAAATGAGTTGAATAAAAACAACACAATATATAATATATATTGAAGTATAAGAAAAAATATATATTTATTGTGTTTCTTTTGTACTTGTTTTAATAGTTGTTTTATTATCTCGCAAACGATGCATAAATTTTGCTCCCAGATACTTTATTATCCTAAAACATAAAATAATTTTATAAAATAACTAAATGAAAATTTTGATAAATCTAAAGTAACATACCATAATCCAATATTTGGATAATAAGTTCCAAGGTACGCCAGCTGTAGTATAGCTGGTTTGCAAATCCACACTTCAGAAAGCTTGTTTGCTATCGCAATTCCCATCAGTGTAGCACAACGTTCTACACTCACTTTATTTTTCGGATCTTCTTTCACATTTTCTCCATATTTCTATAAAATAGAGATACACGAAAAAGAACTATAAATAGTTCATAATGTCAATACATTATATATACATACTTCACCACTTTTATCAGTGAATGCTTCTGTCAAAAAATTAGTATATACTGGCCCTGGACATACAACTGTAATTGGTATATTTTTATCAAATTTTTCTAAAGCAAAAGTTTTACAATAACCCTAATATAATAAATATTTATTAATATATATACATATAGATTAACGATTATATGATTATAATTAAAGTATTATACCCACATGTAATGCAAATTTATTTGCACAATATGTAGCAGAAAATGGTGTTGCCGTAACACCAGCAATGCTTGAAGTGAATACAAAATGACCTGCACCTACTTTGAGAAAATATTTTGCTACTAATCTAGATAAAGCTATTGGTGAAAATACATTCAAGTCAAACATTTCTTTGTCAACGGATATGTCAATATTCTCCCATAATGCTCGTTGTGATCGTCCTGCATTATTTACAAGTATATCCAACTAAAATTGATTTAATGTATAATCAAAGTATAATGTAATAAATGATCACAGTAACATAACATAATATGTATTTACCTTGCCAAATTTAGCAATGATATTATTAAGTGCTGACTCATGACCATTTATATCACAAATATTTAGAGCTAGTACTTCAATGTCTGAACTTTTTAAATTTTTATTTCCTAAAAATAAATGAATTAGTATATTAAATTTGTGCAAAAGTATGAGGATAATTAATAGAAATAATAACTATTATTATCAAAAACTTATTTACTTTGCAAGCAATTAATTTTTACTTTTTCCAATTCAGCTTCCCTTCGTGCCAACAAAATTAATTTGCATCCAGCCTCTGCCAAAACATATGCAAGATGTTCTCCAATTCCACTTGATGCTCCTGTTATCCATACTACTTTATCTCTTAAAGTATCTAGCAAAAATGTTAAAAATATATTTAAGAAGAAATCTTAATAATGCATATTACAAATACTTTTTTTGAAAAATATGCATAATTATTACTTGTAGGTTTGCCAAATTTTTCATAGATAGCAAGATGTAAGTCACAATCAAGGAACCAAGGGCAAATAATGTAAACAAGACAATAAATTATAGTTATAAAGCCAATGACAGCTAAAAGATCCATATTACTAAATTATATAATTGAATCTGAAAAATGTGAACATGAAAAGGTATTACATTTTAATCACATATTTTTGTTTTAAGAGATTTTTTTTAAATCAGTATGCAATACATTAAATCTCATGTATTTTTTAAATTTATACTAACTATTGGTTATATTATATTGTCCGAAAAGTTTCTTCCGTTTTATAAGGAAATAATACATAAAAACATTTTTTAATAATATTTTAAACGATTTATATATTTTTATATGACATTTTTGGTTTGGTTATGCTCATAGAATGCATCTACGAAATATGAGGCACATAAAATGTGATAGCTGGATATTATCGAAAATATCAGTAACACAAAAACGTGTTGTTAAGACAACTTGAAGTATTGTAGGGAGCACAATTTTTCGTATAATTAAGTTCAAAATTTTTTATAATCAAGGTTGTCACCTTTCTTTTATATAGAACTATATATATTTTGATATACGTCGGTGTAGTCCACATTAAAATCAGTTCAACGATTATAATCACTCGAGGACAAAATTACTTTTATAGAAATGTTTGGAATCTTGAACTGTAATAATCATTCGTGAATTGGTGTTTTGCTTATAATCTTTTGTTAAAATCATATTTAATATTAGATATTAAATTTTGTATGATCATTTTTATGGTGATATCTACATAGTAGAGGAAGTATAGCTCGCGATATTATAATGCATGGAAATCTCTCACTCTTAATTAAAGCCTATATAATACAAATTATAAGAAAACGAAATTCGCAAACAGGATACAAAACAAAAGGGTAAGCACTTTCTGAATTAGAACGATAATTATAACAATAGAAAGGAAATAAACCAATTTAAATTAAATTTTATTGTTAAACTTAATCTCAGTCACATTTGTTTAACTCGTGAGTGAACTTCTTCAATCAAATTTGATTCACGTTAATATTGCGTTTTTGTCGACAGAGCAAAAGGTTGCCAGTAAAGCTGACAAAAATAGATAATTTACGTAAGTATCGCGAGTTTGTTGCTATCAATTGTTAATAATTATTTTTTCTAAAGTGATTACCACTTTCTCGTACTCTCTTTCCCCTATTAATTAATAAGTTACCAAAATTAGTAAACAAGTTACACTATTCCAGAATACGCAACATGCTCAGGGTCGGCCATTTGTTAATTACGAGTCAGACATATAGGAAACATTCGATAATTGCACAACTGCACAAAAAGATTCCCAGCATAATTGCACAGTTGTCATTCCTACTATAGGAGCAAGTTCGCCTAACGCACCTCGAAAGTCGATGGCTCATCGCGGTTAAGTAATGTAACATTGTTCAATGTGGGATATCGCTGAGATAATATATACAGATACCAATTCAAAAGTACTTTTTTATTGTCGACTTTTTTTAAATTAAACTTTTACTAACATATCTGTATGATCTGATTAAAATGAGATCAAACACGATATAATTTGAATTATATGTACTTACTGATATGTATTTAATTATCATTTATTAAGGAGGCAAATATGCTCCAAATCATAACGTGTTCGGTGTCATTTTAATCAGAAAAATGTAAGAAACATATTGGTTAAAGTTTCATCGATCACAAATCTAAAATAAGAAAGTTTGATTTTTGAGATAAAAGTATTAGCTTATCGCGGGCCTTTAACATTAGCTGAATGCTTTGACTTTCAGTCCCTCTTTCTCTTTGACTCGCGTAGTCCTTTTCTATGTTCAAAGATTTCTAAGATTTCAGTTTCGAGGAATAGGAGCATTTTTACCTCTACATAATTGCAACATTTGAATTCCGATTTTTGTGCAATTATTGAATGTTTTATGACTATTTGGCTTGACTTTATTTTCGAACGTGACAAGAAAGAACACAAAGAATGAGAAGAATGAATACGAGAGGCTGGCTGTCGAGCAGCATGTAACACATCGGGATTTCTAATACCAGAGTGTGATAGCAATTAGACATATTCTAATCGTTTTTTACTGAATGATGTCACTGTTCATTCGACCACAAACTTTTATGGTTAGCTGCTTTCACGGATCTCTTATTCGGTGTCAAATTTCTCACTCTGTAGGTAAATTCAAATAAAGAAGAGGGAATATGTAGTAAGTTGCTTATTTCGAATTAGGAACCAGTTGCTTATCGGAACCAAAACTGTACCATGCGGTTAAATTTCATGAGTTTGCAATAAAATATCTCCAATATTCAAATTATATTCATTGGAAAAAAAGAAAGATATAGCTTTTATATCCAAAGATACAACAGTTTTTACTACGAATATTAATTGACTATGAATTTATAGAATGTTTGGAAAAAGTGACTTAATTTTGATCGATTTTAAATTGATTTATTAATTATTGAAAAATGGAACTGCCTTCTTTATTGCAACAATCTCTCCAATGTTTAAAACTTACATACATTTATCAATGATGACCGTTTTTACTGACCGTTATTGTCGATGATCGTTATTGTTACGTCACGAGGCTTACCATAGGCCGTATTCCTAACTGCCGCTCGTGGTATTAAAGTATCGCAGGCAGATCGTTTTATATAACTGACGAAACATATACGATGTAGCGACAAGCGCATAATTCTTATCAAGCAGTGAGTTCTAGAAACGTCGATTCACCTTCGGTCCGTTATTTTATCCACACAAAGAAGGTGGCATACGTGATTATGGGCGTGAACGGTGACATGATCCGAGCGTAGTGGGGGTCGTCTCCCAGAGAAGACCACGAAAACATCGAAAGATAATCAGTATTATTTGAGGATTCAAACGTTATGCATCGAGAGGTCCAGGCGAATAAAATTAAAGTCGATTAGTCTAACGAATATATCGAGAAATATTATAAAGTCAGGTCGAATTCCTGTATCAAATTAATTGTATTTATCATTAAATAATTTGTGACGTGCTCATTATAATACTAAATGATGTTAAATATACAAGTTTATATTAACCCTTTTAATTCAGTGTTAAACTCATTCTAACCACCTCTGTTATCTTAATCGAAACAGAGGAATGACTAATTCACGGCGTCGATTATCCGAGTCGTGGCAAGAATTTGCGCCTCTCGCTGACGCGTTTTCCTCGCGTTTTTGTTGGTACGTAATGTTTGGTTGGTAATGTTTGAATATGTCGATGTTGATGCGTATCTTATTTTCACGATCAAAACTATCTTCTTAGTTGTCTGAAGTACAGATATTCCTAAAAAAACAATTTACGATGAAATTTTGCAAACGTCCAAGAAAAGAAAACTTTAATTTCCTAAGTCACTAATTTGCAACAAAAGAATTTACCAGAAGAAATGCTGCGGCGAGGAGTAAGGTTTTGAATTTTATGTCTAAATCTGAAGGAAATGTAATTAACATAATATAATCGTGAAGAATATTGTCCCACTGATGCATAAGAGATGCAATTTGATGAGTGTCATCGATCGAGATTACCTGAATGAAATTAATGTACTATAATTAAATGATTTGTAAATAAAGCATAAGGTAGCTTAATAATATCAACCACTTTGAATATTTTTATTACTTCTGAAAATATGGAGGGACTTTATTTACCAAAGTCTATAACATGTGACTGTACGTATAGTCATTTTGTTTTTTTGATGAAGGACTTGTGAAAATTTTTAAATCATAAATAACGTCATAAATAAATCTTAAAATCAGGGCACATGGAGCGTCATGAGATCGACATGTTTGACGAGTCCGGCAAGCTACTCGAGAAGCGCGAGCAGGTAACAGTGACTATTATAGTAGAATTAGCTGTAGTCGCAGAAGTAACTTTAGTTGTAGTGCTAGGTGTATTTTCGAGCAATTTATATTAGTAAATAAGTGCTATTTAGTTTTAGTATGAAGATAATGACTCTTACGTATCTTCCTAGTAATACCATCTCATTAAAAATAGGGATATAGATATTCAAAGTGATCAAAGATATTAAAATATAAGCTATTATTAACTTATTATTATATATATATATCAACATATATACAAATATGTATTAAATAAAATATACAGGCTGTCTCTAAAATCGTCGTACAAACGGTCGTATGCAATGTATAATTATATAATAAAATGTGAAAAAAATCGCTTTATTTTCTAAAAAGGTTAGTTTGAAAATTCGCCAGGTTCCTGTGTATTAACTGTCAGCTTCGAGGTATGAAATTTCTATTTTTGCTCGTGTTTGTATCATTAAACATGATTTATGTCACGATTTGAAAATAATGTTACTATCGTTTTTCGTTTTATTTCTGTACCCAGCTGGGTCGTACCCCGATTTTGGGCACATCCTGTATATCGTTTTCTCTTTCAGACAAAAATTACCTGAAACTGGGATTCTTGATACATGCAACAATCACTAACATTTGGCCCGTATATATTACAAAGTCGTTTTCCTATTGCATCGTACACCGTAAAACTGGAACCTATTATATGCAAATTTTGTCCTATTGTGCCAATTAAATTTGGGCTTAGCACCGACATACTCTGTACAATGAAATTTTCATCTTTTTGTTATATGGTAAATAATAAAAATATAGTCAAGCTATTTTATAATCTTGTATACAGTCTGGATTTTACTCACGTGCGATTTATTCAAAGCAAACGTCCACATGGAATTCATAACCATGGTGAACGCGGTTTCGCCGCATTGGTCCACAATATTTAACTGAAAATCGTCGCGAGTCAATCTGGAGCAACTCCAACCGCTTGATTCATTCTTTGATTCTGTTTCCATTGCTAGGAATAACGTTTCAGCTTTTGGTACTTTTACTCTGTATTGGAATTTCTTTTTTAATCTACCGAGCACTATTAACACGAAAGAAAGAAACCTTTGTCATTTCTGAATTTTCTTCGATTTTAAAGATATGAACATTACGCAGTTTGTAAATGCAAACTTTTCATGTGACTCTCGATGGGTTAATTCTCTATATGTATAATTTAATTTGAATGTAAAATAACGTTCGAAAAGCTTCATTCATTAAAAAATCGATAATCAATTGTACGCAAGCCAAGCATAAGTTATCTTTATCGACATTGTTTTCGTTTAAATTTAGATGAATTACGAACGTGTGCTGAGGTCAACAATCTGCTGAATTTCCAATTGTTCCACGTTAGATAAGAAGTGAGTTCCAGAAAGTACGGTCAGCTGCGACCTTGGTGTCGATATCCAATTCAACGTATTCACAGGAATCGGTCTCCTTTCTTGTCTGGTTTCTCCTGACCGAATTTAATATATCATCATATTTCATATATAATGGGATAGTTCATATGTAATAGAGATTTATTTTATCCATTAAATATTATAACGAATACTATATTTCGCATTATGCACTTTGTGCATTTTTTCATTCTCAAGTTTTTCATAGATACATAAAATATTCACAGACTACTTATCATTATATTTTACATATTATATTGTATGCTATATGTTAACAATAATTTTATAAACATATTTTACATATTTTTATCAGGAAGATGATATACATACCTTGTGGTTGTGCCGTAATGACGGTTGGCCCCGAAAGGACAGGAACTGTATTGGATACCGAATTCTGTTGCATTTCTATATACTGGGTGGTTACCTGGTTTGGCTCTGCGTGATTATAAAAGTTCGTTTAAACTCGCGCTTCTTCTTTATGCTTCCTATTATACAAATTAATCAAATGATTCTGTCGTTAACGAGATGCATATTAGTTTAAATACACATTCGAACGTAATTCGTAATATTAACTTTGGTACAGCAAATTGTCAATATACTTTTGCGATTCTACTAATTTTGCACAGGGGAAGACATGATAAGTTACATATTCTACCCTTTAGGATTTTCTAAATTCTATATGTTGTCGATCAATTTTATAATACTAAAACTGTCCTCGTTATTTCACCATCAGATTAAATATATGTTTTCTATTGCTCTGTTGAACATTACAAAAATATCATGACATAAATATTATGACGACATTAACTATGTTGATCGTTCATGAAACTTGTACACCTATTTTTCAACACATATTTTTGCAGCACAGGCTATTAATCGCGTTATGCTAAATTAGTGACTTTTAATCATCAAATTTAATCAATGGATTTTAGTTATCACATAAAAATCAGACTTATCACTTCTTTCTTTGCGGGCTTCGTATAATTTACGGCGCAATAAAAGCGGTAATAGTAATATCAATAATAACGATGTTCAATAAGAACCACATTCAGGATAACCGAAGGGAATAAGAATCACCAGTTAATACTCCAAAGGTAACACGATTAAGGTCACTAGCTTCCATTTCTTCTCGCAAAAAATCGAGCATTCATTGGTGAATCGGTGCGTGAAAACTATTTACTATTTCAGCAAACGTGTCTTTTTTATCGCTACGCGTAAGAGAACCTTGTCGATTTAATTAATTTTAACGATCGTTAAGCGGCACAGGGGATTACACGGATCGATTAGCGAACAGCCATGAATGTTATCGCGTAGAAACAAGTCGTTTTATGTAGACAAATATTCAAAAACTTGCTCTTTCCTCGGCTAATACTTTATCCTTAATGTTTTTCAGGCTTCAAAAAAAAATCTTCACGTTTGTGAAATTCTTTTTGTGGGAGATCTAGATTTACACAAGTATCCACTTCCGTTGATGTCATTGCTGAAAATTCGTCCAGATACTGTTCGCTCGTGGTTGTTCGTCGAAAGTTCCGTAAGTCTCTTTTCGTTATCGTTGATAGCCAATCGCTTATCGTAAAACCGGATAAGCGGTATCGTTCTCGTTATTGTCAAACGCACTGATCGATGTTTCTTATTATTCTTTCCCTGTATTGTTAATAAATAATAACGCAAATAATTTTAATGATTTGCAACATGAACAATAATATAGTGAAATAGATTATTGCAGGGACCGAGGTACACTACACACGCTCGTTCAGAAATCATTATTCTAGTACGCTCAATTCTCCTATTTTTTTTTTTATTTATTTATTCGTTAAAATTACAATCAATTCTCGCGTTGAGAATTTTCAGCAATAACTCTCCTATAACACGGTATAACACGGTGAAAAAATTGCGCCAGCCCTCCTACAAAACGATCTCCGTATAGCACGGCTTAATAAATTTATGCAAGCCTCGTATAACATGAATATTTCCATCATATTATTTTGGTTTCGCTTTAATGTGGTTTCGATACAACGCGGAAAGAATTAATCGTGTTATAAGAAGGAGAGTCGACTGTATTTGTTTTAAAGTTAATACAACTTAACTAATCGTAAGAGGATATGGTAGAAAATTATGCTATAGCGATGCGTAAGTCAAGATTTTGAGAATTTCAATTTAGCGAAACGTAATTCAACTTTTCAAAATATCGTCCCTTCGGTTTCATGATTATTTTCAATCGTAATTTTATTCTCTGTTGCGGTACATTTTCGTGACTTTCAAAAATAGAACACCTTCGTTCCAGGAATAATTAGAAACCCTAATACCACAAAATACCGATATTCAACTATTATAGGAATGTTAAAATTGAAAAATTCCCACTGATCCCTTAACTATCTGGGAATTCCCTTTTAGGTCACCCGCACTCTGTTCTCGTACTCTGAAGGAGAGAGGATTTCTGAACAAAACGAGACGCATACAATCCCGAGAAAATTATTACTAAAAACTCCGTCAAATCGTCTCATCCTTTAACTATCCTTCGTAATGCTTCACGGAAGCTATTTCAGATCATTACCGACCATTCATTCCATTAAGGATCAATGTTGTCTTAACGTAACATTTCATCTGCAACTTTTTCTTAGTTCAATTTACGTTACTAAATTCTGCTTTTTCATATTTTGATTTTTTGAAAGAAATGTTTAAGAGTCCGTTTAATATCTTTCTACAATTATTCTCTCTTTCGTTCAAAATTGAAATCACATAAGTCGTGGAAATTTGAAAAGGTATTTCTGAAATATTTATAATGCTGTAACAAATGTCATAGAGATTCTTTGCAAGGCTTTGAGTTACGTAGTGGACTTCTGTAGAGTTATCCTGATCATGTTTTTTAATAACGTTGTTCAAACATGTTTAATAACGTTAACATAACTGAATTCTTACGGGAATGTTCTCACACCACCGAGGCAAATTCAATCGGTATTCATCTTTGCTCAGTATTGTACTGACGGTGCTACATAAATTGAACGAGAAATTTAAGGAAAAGGCAAAAATTGATCAAAAAACCAAGAAGAAGTAGTAGGTCATGAAGAAGTAGGTTGAGAAATTTCCAGCATCTCACTGGTAATTATTTTTAAAATCAGAATTCATATATATATTAACGATAAGAATCGAACAAAAGTCTATTATATATTCTATTATATATTAGATAGAACTGAAAAGAACGTGTAAAAGTAGAACGTTATAACGTTAAATACTGTAATCGAATAGAAAAATTCTGGGTCAACCAACGTATCGATGAAGAACACGCAGAGATATTTCAATCGAAATATTCAAGTCCACGTGTGTCATTTGTTAAATATCGTTAGCATATCGTCATTTACCTATTATTTATTCCACCCCTCAAAAAGTTGTTTTAATTCCGAGAAAACTGGAGACTCTAGAAACCTCCAGGAACTACGTGAAACGACTAAATCCTGGAAACTACCGAACGGCTGGTAAAAAGTTAACGTTACACAGACAACCTAATAACATTCTAATACTACAAAAGTGGAATATCGTCAAATTTCTCTCAAATTTTCCTACCAACTTTTCGAACAACACCGTATATCAAATTATCCAAAAAGATTAACATATTTCGAATGGACGATAAAAGAAAAAAGAGGGGGAGATCCTTTTGGGATTCTAAGGGTTCGCTCGAATTGGCTGGTTCATTGGATTGATGTAACGCGTGACTATAATTTTCCGGTTTGGCGTGTTTTCTCAGGCACACCCCACACGCCTTTACTTGTTGCTGCTCCACGGTGATTCCATGCGCGGTTCTATCGATCCTGGTGTTTCCTATATAAGAGGCCGCGTCATCGGTAGTCGTGAAACAGCAGGTCGTCCAATATTCTATGTAATCCGTGGAGAATTGTCACGGTGGAAGCAGTGGTACAAGGGTGAACGCGCAAACCAAATAAAACACTGGCTTGTGCCACGCGAATGACTAACTAAAAATCAAGTAAGTTATCCATCGAATAAAACAGTGTCGTTATATCATTTTTCTAATTTTATCAAACCAATCTTTCTAACTTGCGTACTCGTCTCTTGTTTAGAAGTAATCTAACATCGAAGAAATTCACGTCGATAAGTTTAAAAATTACATTCTTTTTGCTTAAGGACGAAAGTATTTGCATTGCTGAAGGGTTTCCCTGTTTCCTTGTAGAGATTTTGTATCACTAGCTTGAGTTTAGCCTCACCATCTGTTAGACTCACGGCACTACGAATCACCTCTGACCGTGCGGTCAAATTAACGATGAAATAGATATTTATTAGCCGTAATGCGACAAGTAATGTTTATAAAATTCTTTCTTCTGTATGTACAACTCACCGTTCGCGTTTCACATAAGTCAGAGAAGCTGAGTGGAAAAGTGATATAAGTGTATATTTCTATAAATAAATGCAGAAAGTGACATATAACATTCGTATTTGTTTGTGAGATCTTCTCGTAAATTATCAAGTTTTTACAAGTACGAATAGTAAATCCGTTCTTGATTTTTCTGTGAGCGTAACTTCGTTTAAAGTTTCCTCGAATTCAATATTTTATCGATTGTACTATTTTTCTCTTGAACCGTTCGTTCGCTGTGAGTTCTCCTTCCGAATTTCGTGAATTCTAATTCTTTTCATTCGTTCGAATTAGCATCATACACGCATGCTAAAAGCACACAGTTATTGAAAGGGATGAAGCGAATAAAATTCGTCACGGTGTCGAAGGATTAAAGACTAGTTTACGCGATCGATCAATATTTAACTTTCTATATTTCGCACAGTCTTCTCGAATTCGGCACAGTGGAAATCAAATAATTTGTCTTTGTATAAACGCAAAGTTGAAGTCAAGTCACTGGAGTTCGGTTAACTCGACCAATTTAATCGCTTGATCAAGGATCAAAGACAAATGAAACACAATGTGTACAAAAACGGTCTATCGACGAAGGTTTCTCCGAATACTTTGAATGAAATTTAAGAGCACGGTGTCGGTGTTCTGTTAGCCGGTTATCGATTAGCGACTGTACCGCGTATTTTCGTGCTCCTTGATACGATTCATGCGATTCTGCATATTTCTTCGATAAAATGGTTATTGTATATACGTATATAGATACGTTACGAATACGCAGAAAGTTGTTGGTAATAGGAGGAGGGTCAATGTTAATCGGATTTCACGATGATGCGGCAAAGCTGATTGTACGCGTGGAATGCATTACGTCTATCGATCTGAGAAGCGTCGCGTCATTCAGGAACAACAAGGGGGAAGAAAGTTCTTCCTTAATGTCCAGATTATATCTTTTTTATCATTGGAAAAATTCATTGTCATTAGAAAATTCATCCTCGTTTCGTCGTTTTTAAATTCGTTATTTAACTCTTGCACGACGAAGCTCACATCAATTCCAACTTATTATTACGAGTCAAATATTACTTATGTCATTAAACGTTTATTATGTCATTAAACGATATTTCGTAAGTGTCAGTCTATCGACTACGGTCGCTGCTGTATGAAGGATTTTATTTTTTTTTATGTAAATTTAGTTATCAAGTAGTAAAAATTTCCATTTAGATTTTCCCTTTATCGCTGTAAAATAAAATATTCGGTGCTTATAACGACGATCTAGTCTCTGTTGACTGAATTAAGTGCTGTACTGTACTAATTTAGTTATGTACGTATTTAGTTTAGTTATGTAAATTAGAGGAATTTAGTTATGTAAATTAAATGCAACAACACAGAAGTAACGCGACAGTAAAAGAACCATTCGTAACAAGATCCTTATCAAATTTTTCGACCTTTTAAATAATGTATAGTAACGATAGGTTCTAGTTGCCAGAAACTATGATAGATTTACTGCGTATTATATAAAATGATTTTTGCCTTAATTTGTGATCTATTATGGAATGAAAATGAATTGTTTCTATAAAAACTTTTGTCGCGAGAATAACAACTTCATGATTTAATTAGATACGATTATTCTGTAGTATAATTATAGTAAATGGATACACTCCTACAAATCATATTATATACAGGATGGTTGGTAACTGGTGGTACAAGCGGAAAAGGGGTGATTCTACGCGAAAAAAGAAGTCGAAGATATAGAATACAAATTTTTCGTTCGAGGCTTTGTTTTCGAGAAAATCGACTTTGAATTTTCGCTCGGTACGCGTGCACTTTACCACGTCTCGTTATAACGGACCTCACTGTAGATCGTTGTCTCGATGAAAAAATTTAAAAGAAAAAGAAAGAAAGAATTAAAAAAAAATTTTTATTCTATATTTTCGACTTGTTTTTTCGCGTAGAATCACCCCCTTTCCCCTTGTGCCACCAGTTACCAACCACCCTGTATATTGAACAGAAAGATTTTATAAAGTATTCTTTTGCTTTCTCGGAGGTAGACAGTCATATTTTTGTTATAAACTCGTCAACTATAACAATATATATCATTTATGATAGCTGATAAATATTTTATACAAACATATGAATTTCAAGTTAATTTTAATTTAATCCCATTGCGTCTCAATCATTCTATAAATATTTTATAAACATACAATCGATTACCTGAGCATCGAATCATCGATTGATGTAGAACTACATCAATCTCTGTAACGAAAAAGTCGATCGACCAGGGCGTAGAGTGTAGAGCAATCCCTGTTGCATCACTAGTTTTCACTACTACGTCTTCTGTTAAGAAGGGACTTCGCTGGTCTTTTTGCGGAATCGATATCGACTGATAAAGCTGATTAAACAGAACTACTAACATACTTTCCATTCTCTTCTAACGCTGGTCGTCCTCATCGATGTTCTTATCCATTTTCTAGAACCAAACTGAACCTCCTAAATATTCTTAACGTAAGATCATAAAGTCAAGGCTTCCATTTCCTGTCCATGGGTCGACTTTTCTATACTATGACACTTGGGTAGGCAACCTGTTGAAGATACCATAAAGTAGCTTTCCTTTAATAACGGGATCGTCTGTTGCATGATTGCTTTAGAATAGCAGATTCGATGCTAACATTTACTAAATCTGAAGAAAATTTAGAAGACGAATTTTTAGGAAATACGTACATACGGGAACAATATGTAATTTTCAGCGTTGTAACTGAGAAGCTTTCTGCAAAACAGTGTACGATTAAGCATATGTTCCTTCAGGAGTTACGCTACAATTTCGATCTACGTTAAAAATGAAATTTAATAGATTCCATATTACGCTGTAAAACTTCGATGTATATATATAGTTTGTGGACTAAAATTCGCTATCCAAATAAATAATACATAAAATATATATTATACATCTATATAATAATATACAGACATATGAAAATAGTTGAATTTTCATGAAATCTTTTTTCACTTTGTAACTACATACAGAATGAAATTATAGTTAATATTCAAATAACTAAATCTAAAACTTGCAGCGCAATTATTTCATTGATTTTGTCTTGCGAGCCGTTTCTTTTTCTGAAAGCTACTTAATTAGTCTTATAGAACATACAATTTTATATGCAATTTCGTAATATTATATTTCATAGACATTCGTAAACAATTCCACAAAGAACGTGCAAACGATTTAGAAAAATCTACAAATGCAAGATTGTAACATTTATTTGCTTTTGAAGGTAAAATGCTGCCTCAAGAATGGCTATTAGTGTCTCTACTCATGGGGTCGGCGACGGCGCTGGCACCCATGCCCCATCATTCGATGGAGGAATCTTTGAGGAGTGCTTTGGATGCCATTACCAGAAAACAACGATCTCTGGATACGAATTCGCAAGACTACTACAATGATCTACGCTCGTTTAAGTATCATGGTGGAGAGGGAGAAAGGAAGCTTGACAGAGAACGTCAGGGTGAAAGGGAAATAGAAGAGGAGGACGAAGAAATAGAATTTTTGCCTAATGGTACTCTCTCGTATGATGGTTTAGCACGTTCATGCATAAGGTTCATGCACAACCATCACGATGGTTTAGCATATTTCGTTATTCACTTTCATACACCACCTACTTTCATATCGGCTATTCCATTTTATAAAGAGCGCTTTAATTGGTCAAGTCCGAAGAAAAAAATAAAATTATTTCTCTTAAAATTTAGAGATCGAAGGTTTATCGTGTACGTGCACGTTTCGGATCGAGTAAAAATGCAAATGTACTCGTTCTATGTTTTATTTATATGTATACATAAACCGAGTACATGTTATGTACTTTTATTCACGTTGGAGTTAGCTAAGTGCATGTATAATATTTTTACGAAAGATCTCAAAGAAAAAAGCTTTATCATGTTTGTTCTACTCATTTTTTTTTTTAATCTTCAATTTCCTGTCCAGACATACTCATTCTGGAACACTCTATATACCGTAGCTGATAAAATTTACTTAGAAGGATCAATCAAATCTTAGATCATAAATATTGTCTACGTAATGGAAATTTGTTCCAGAAACTGGACAACTAGAAACTGTAGGAAATGGTTTCCAAGATTTGAATAATAAATTACTGGAAAGAGCATTGATCGATTATCTAGAGAATGTACCCCAACAGCAGGTAGCGTTTCTTCCTTTCCTTAGTCGACGTTGTTATACTATATTTCTATGAAAAGAAAGAGCTACATTGTTTGGTACTATCCAGGAACAACCGGTCACATCGTTATTTCGAGAACGTGAACGAGGTTCCAATCGTAAAAGGGGCTATGGTTCTGAACGATCGAATATTGACAATAAGGAGTTGGCGAAATTGTTTCTAGAAGAACTGCAGGATGGCTCTCCGTATAATCTTGGAGATACGGATGACGAAGGGTACATGGATTCTCGTCAGATGCTCTATGATCGATACAGGGGCGATCGAGGCAACAAAATATACGAGTTAGCGATTAATATGAATTTTAATACTCAACTTTATTGGACTAACGATAACCTACATAATTTTAAAATATAATAGGACTAAGTTATTTAATTTTAAAATAATGATTTATTTCATTCAGTTCATTTTAATTTATATTTTTATTTATATAAACATTGTTATTTCTTAGTACAAAATAATCCTTATAAAAAATATTTCGTATATTTATTAATGTTAAAGTTTAAAAATGTGGTGAGATTTAAAATACTGACGAAACTATGGATAATAGGAATTCAGGTCCAATGTCCTGGGGTGCATTGTTGAATAAAGAGTCTATGGCCCGAGGTCAGAGTCGAGAATCCGAGGAAAACGATTTCAGCGATCGGGAACAAGACCCAAATTTATTGTACCTCTCAATGGGCGAACGAAGAAACATGAATGGTGGGTATTCCATAGGACGACCCCTGAGGACCTACAGAAATATGGCTAAACGGTTTCTAGTTGCCAAGAGGAGCCCAAAACCTGCATCTACATCTACCAAAAAGCAGATTACCGATCCCAAGGTAAATCAGCTGAGAAGTTTTCTAGAAATTCTTTAGCAATTTGCAGTCAAATATTACATGCGTGATTAAATATTAAATAGATACTTTCATTTTAAAATATACTTAATTTTTTCTTTTTTTATCGTACATTCAAATGATTTAAATTTTAATTTAAAATAAAGTATCTATTTATTTATATTTTAAGGTCGCTCAAGATCTGGGAGCGCTGTTTGGCACTCAATCCGTGGATAATCAAAATCATACTCACAATTTCAAGCATGATCACAGCCACGATCACGACCATGATCATGACCATAATCACGATCACGATCACGATCATGAACATGGGGATCAGCATAAACACGAGAGTTCTTCGGAAGCGCCAAAGGTGACCCCTTCGCCAAAAGGGCAAAAGGAGAATGTGACAAAGTTAGGCAAGTCGAAATCTATCGAGGTGAGAAAGAAGAGCGTCGATTGGTCTCAATATTTTGGTATTGATAGAAGAAAGAAGAAAGCTACGTTCATGGTTGGCCAAGGGACTCCGAATCAAGACGATGAATGGATGTTACAGCGATACTATGAAGTAATTAAGAGAAGTAGAAAATCTTCTTCTTTTTCTTATTCTTTCTCTAATCGTAAACTCGATCTACAATGGTTGAATTAATATATCGGTTTATTAGAATATGGTAGAGAATCTGAAGGCAAACGACCGAGAATACGAAAAGGAAGCTGACGAAAGAAAAGACAAGTTGGATCAACTAGATCCCAGACAGAAAACCATTAAGGACTTGATTATCGAGGAAGCTTTGAAATACAGAGATTCTGAAAATGGTATAGATATGCAAAAGGTATGACTCGTTTAAAGAAATCAATTAATATACATGACACAACAGTTAGCGTTATGTATATATCAATATTTTATAATGTTTAAATAAAATGATAGGTAAAGGATAAGATAATGGCACGAATTGCATCTGCCTATTCCTTCGAAAAAATGAGAAAAGTACTAAACGAACTCAGGAACAATGTGGCGACTAGGATAGAGGCTCAAAAGGCAACTCATGTACAGGGTAATCAAACCTCGAACTTCCGAGAGAATAGTAGCAACTCTAAATCCAAGGATAAACGCATCAACAATTTAATAGAAACTGAAGGTGCAATTTGATTAATCATTATATCGTATTATACTGTTTAGTACCAATACATTATATTAACTATTACGTTTTGTGAAAAGCCATGGAAGAAAATAGAGCCTGTCCAGAGCTAGAACTGATCGAGAGACGATGCAGAACAGTAGACACTTTAGGTGGAGACGAATCACAGATACTCTATCTTCCTTGCGTCATGCTTCAAATCTGCAGGGCCTGCGTAAATATTCTTACCCTACTCTTGATCATTCAAAAGTCTCTATTTAAAACTCTAGTTACTTAATTTGTCGAACACAATTCCATTTTATTTATTTATTTATTGTTTACGAGAAAAAGGGAAATCCCATTAAAATATATAAAGCTGAATAAAATAAATTTCCTATTAATTTCAGATACAGAACGACCTAGAGGAAGAATGTTTAGGTAACTATGCAGTGGAAGCGGGAAAAATCTGCGACGCTCAGGAAATAAGAGAAGGACCAAAGAGCAGAGAAGCGTGCGCCAGCACAGCTTTGATATTGTCGCAATTACAGACTCCGACTGCAATCTCCGATCAATGTCGCCTCGATGGAAACGACTCTTGTTTACGACGTTATCATTACCAATACTGGCATCGTTACCTTACTTACCCCTACAACGGGCGACGATTGAACAGCGCCTACGATATGACCAGCTCTCAACAATCGGACCGATAAAAAAACAAAGGATTAAAATTAAGTGAGACGATGTCGAGAAACGGGTGTGGCTTTTCAACAAATCAGTGACCTCGAACCGAGCTTCATTTCTATAGTCAACTTTCAGCATTTCGTTTATTTGGTTTGCAACCGAGAGAAAAAGAAAAACGTTGAGGTCAAGGAATAGAGGTTAGGTTGTTCGAAACAATATATCATCCAAGAATGCGATAAGAGTCATGTTACTTTTATTGAGCGGGTGGGTTCATTTAAGACGAAAGAGACAAAGAATCAAAGAATCGAATAACTTTTAAAGTCGATTCGAGAACATGTCGATGAAGATGGTTGAAGTGGCTTCGAGTTTTGCGTACATGATTGTGTACAACAGATTGATTCTATTACATGCGGATATCGTTTAATATAATAAAATGGAAAAGGAACGACTGAATTTTGAACTATTTGCGAGGTGTATTTCTTTTTTTTTCTAGTAATAAATGTAACGACAAGCTATGAGGGACAATAATTATCAAACGAAATTTTTGTCATTATTTCCCAAGAATGGACGAACTTCAAAATTTCTTATCTCGCTAATAATATAAAGCCATTTGAACTTTAAAAAAAGTAAAAATTTTGAACGAACGCCTCGCAGAAGAAATTATCAGTTATATAATAAAATACATTAAAACAGTCGTTGAACATCAGAGAGCATAACATACGATGACGTTTAATTTTTTACACTAGATGATTTTCAGCAACTTTCTCGCAATCACGTAATAAAAAGTTCATTTTTCTTACTTTGTCCAGATTAAATTTACCTGAATACTTCCAAATGATGCTGCATAATAACGCGGTAAAGTATCTTATTTATCTATTTTCTTCCATTGTGAAATATGCAACATGCAACATAAATCTACCGAAATATATCGATATTAAAAGATATTTAATAAAGTTTAAAAAGGTACACCATGATTCTATTCTAGTGTAAATTTATATTTCGTCGGATAAAAGATCAACGTATGTATATCTATGTCTGTCTTTATGTTATCAAAACCAGAAATACATTCTATGTGTCAGTCCTATATTCAAATGTAATAAATATATTTCAAAATAATTGTCTCATATTGTTTATTGAAAATCGTGATGGTACATTAATAAGAAGGTATTTTTTAATAACTAAGGATCATTAAACTTAGTATTCGTATCGATACTCATGTCAGTCATTTGTTTAAGCGATTCGAAAATTTCAAGACATTCTGGAGTGTACAACTTCAGAAATTCTAGTTGCAATTGAGCACATTCGACTAAAAGTGAAAAAGATGTTAAAAAGACTCTTTTTATTATAGAAATAATTAATATATTAGCAAATAGGAAATGTCCTCTCTAGTATTAGAATATACCTCTCCATTTTGAGACTACTTCCAATTTCTTTTTTAACTCCAAATTTAATTTATTTATTTCCTGGATAATATTTACATTATCATCCGACATTATTTCAGAAATAAAAATTTGTAACTAATATCTCTTTTCTTTTAAAACAAGAAATATTACGAATTAATTATTCTGACCACTCTAGTCGTAGTAATTGAAATCAAAGATGGTCACGTTAATCCTAGTCACGCGTTCTGATTGGTCAGAAGGAAATTCGTCCACGAATAGCGATTATACGGTATAATATACATTACGCCGCTCGTAAGAGGCGACGCAATTGGTCAATTCGTAAATGTGCCTTGTTACCTAGCCGCGAAACCCTGCAAATCTAGAATTACATAATCTATGATTACTAAAAGTGGCGATGGCGTTTTATGGCCTGTATTGCTTTGTGTCTAAAAAGTGGAGTTTTCGTGGTATTTTCTATGGGAGACCGGTTTATTAATGTAATTTTTGAGACTAGTAATAAAAAGAAGTGCGTGATCAAGACGAGTACGAGGTACAAGGTTAGAAAGGGCAAGTGTGAAAGTAGCGGGCAGAAGGAATACATGAGCTCCCGCTTCCGACGGCCGGCGAACATATTTATCTTCGACGGCAAATGTAATATTTTGACAAGGAGGTACAAATAATTCAATTGAAAAAATACGCCTCATTGTGCGTAATCAATTGTGGTACGTTTCACTTTTTATAACTTGAGATTTCCGAGAAATTTTCGTGATCACATGATGTTCCCGCCGTAACCTTCTATTCTCGTTGTAAACACCGTATTGATATATAGGGTGTCCTTGAATTTCGCTTCGATCTTTTTTTATGCTTTATCTCGATTTTTATGAATTAGCAATTTGAATTTATTCGTTTTAAAAAACATAACTTTAAGAGTTATCCATAAGGGGAATTAAATTAATAAATTTTCATTGATATGTTTTTAATTCCAGTATGTTAGTAAAAAAAGAGTAAAAAATATGTCAGAAATAGAAAAGATAGAAAATAGTACAATGGAAAATCAAGATATATGTTCTGAAAGTTTTGAAAAGAGCAGGGTTTTGGTATCTAGTGAAGCCAATAGTTTGAATGAAAGTCAAGATTTTCATCTAATAGATACAAGCGATGATGAATCGCAACGAAATTTAGAAAATACAAAAGATGAAAAAACATTATCTTTTGTCTCTGGTGGTAACACAGAATCAACTTTGAATGAAATAAAACTAACGGCTGAGCATATAGCAAAGCTTGATGTACAGAATGATGATATAAAAGTAGAAGATACGCAAGACGTTGAAGTTATGAAGGAGAAGGAAAAACATAACATAGAGCCATGTGAAAAAGAAGAGGAGAAAGAGATTGATGAAAGTAGTACTTTAGAAAATAAAGAAAAATTTTCTGATGATGAAAATGAAGAAATAATACATTGCACACCATCCGAAGCATCTTCACCATCTAAGAAACAAGGTGGTGCTAATATAATAAGTCTAAAACGTAAAATAGGTTCATTTAATGAACCACCTACAAAAATTTTAAGGACGGCATCTAGGGAAGATGTATCAGTGCCTGAGAAACTAGTACAGGAAGAAGAAGAAAGTTGGAATTCGTTTAAATCTGACGATTCCCATCATGAATTTCCTAAAAATTGCTCTAACACAAATATTATAATTGCAGAAACTCAGGATGTTGGAGAAGATGACAACATGAAAGAAATGGTAGAATTGTCAATATCATGTAAAGAAAGAGATAGAGATGAAAACCACCCTGAATTGGAAATGAAAGATTATGAAATAGATAAGAACAAAAATTTTAATGATACATCAAAACTACATCAAGCTATTAATAAGAGAGACCTTAATGAAGAGACATCAGAGGTAAAAAATGTATCACAGTCTAATGAAAATAGAGTAATACAGGTTCAAACAAACGAGAGGGACTGTACATCTTCCCTAAAAACTGTTGCAGTTGAGAAATTAAAATCGGATTTCAGTAATAAAAATACAGATAGCATTAGAGCAATTGAAGCAAAAGATAGTAAGGTAACATACAGTGAGAAAGCAGAAGATAAGGAAAATGGTATTGAACCTAAAAGAAAAATCAGTTCAGAAGAAAACAGTAGCAATGTTCAAGAAATATCAATGTCTAAAGAAGTATGTGAATCTCACTCTAACATGTGTTCTGGGAGCATATCCAAATCGCGAATGAGCATAGAACTTATATATGATAAAACTACTGTTCACGAAGCTAAGCCGAGATCCAAAGAATTAGTAGAAATTGATGAGGATGGAGAGAAGATAATATTAGATTCGTCTCAAGAAGATTCTGATGGGAAAGCCGAGAGTAAGAGTGTCCTAGATAATACAAAGTCTGATACAATATACAAAAGTTGTTACGACAGTAAAAATAGTAGCGAATTTAGTTATAAATCGGTGGAAAATGTCAAAGAATCATCCCTTGATTCGGTTAAATCCAGTGGTAAATTGGTAAATGGAAGTAGTGAATCAAAAAAATGCGATACCGACAGTACGGCTAGTTTACAATCAGACACGTTTAACGATATGCCAATTCTTGACAAAGCAGATAACATTTCCACATCCCTACATAATATAAACAAACAAATTAAATCAATTTCTATACTTAAAGACAGCGATCATGTTGACTTATTAAGTGTAAGTGATAATGAGCCTGAGGTTTTTATAGTAGATGATAAAAGTAAGTCAAACTCGATTCACAGTAGTTCTATCACAAAAGCCTTACAAATGGAAAAAGAAATTGGTATGTATGTTAAAATGAAATGTTTATTACATATTGATGAAGGTACAAAGGAATTTCTAAGTAAAGAAATCATTGGTGTGCAATGTGAGACTGTTGCTACAGAGTCCACTTTAACCAGACAGAAAAACAATGATACATCTGCTTCATTGGCAGACATTTCTGGAAATGACAATAAGGAAATATCTCCTGGATCAGTAAACAGCAACCCGCAATTATATCAACTGAATCCTTCTAGACTTTCATTTGCTTCAACGATCAGCTTAAGTTCTGCATCTAGTGCCGCTTCACTGGCAGCCAAGCTTGCGATAAGAGATAGTACACATTTCTCGTTACCGAGAGTACCGGCGAAACATGCGAAAAGACACGGCCAAGATATTCATTCGCTGAATGATAAACACGCAATAGACGAAGCGTACGAACGTCTAAGCAAAGAATGGCAAAACAGTCACCTTCTTACAACAACTATTTTAAACTTTGCAAATACTGAACTCACTGGCGTTGATGCATACAATGTTAGCAACGAGAGGATAGACGACCACTTACAAAAGATTCGATCTTCTACGCCAGAAGTGTCAAAAGACATAGTTCAGTTACAAACTCCTAAAAGCACAAAGAAGAGCAAAGCAGTAAAGAGGCCAAGAAGTAAAAGCATTAAGTCAGATAATCAGTCGAATGGAGTGAACAAGATTTCAAAGGTATTAAATCTCGCAGAGAACATTAATACACCGAATAGAAAAAAGAATAAAACGGAACATACGGATAATATATCGAGCACTATAAATGTTTCAACAAAATCCGAATCGCATATGATAGATGAATTAATTGGTAAGGATGTATTCGCTAAATGGTCGGACAATAATTATTATCCCGGTACAGTTATCGATAAAATAAAGACGAAATATAAGGTAAACTTCTATGATGGAAAAAATAAAGTACTTATAGAAGACTTTGTTATACCGATACCGAAAGTTTTGAAAGAGGGTCTATCCGTGTATGCCGCTACCAAGAATTACGATTATGGATCGTGCGGTATAATCATCAATGTTGAGATTGTAAATAACGAAGTATATTACACAGTAGAGACAGACGAAGGAGAAAAGCTAGAAGTTCAAATCAAGGATCTTTCTTTATCAGCTGATCAGGCTCAAGTGTTGAAAGAGGAAATCAATTTGGGGAATAAGAGTCTTCCATCTACGCCAAAGCATTTAGGGCAAATAACATTAGATAATATGGTTGATGGAAAAAGACGTTCGAAACGAATCGCCACTCCCAGTTTTTCTACTCCTAAATCTAAACTAATTCAGACTCCTACAAACAAAATTGAAGTAGAACCATCTGTATCGGGTGTAACATCTTCGATTAAAAGAGAGAAGAAGGTACCCTTTGAAAGTGATGGCGTTTCCAGCGACTCTAATGTTTCTGTAAAGGATGAAGTCTTTTCTATTGGAGTACAACCCGAAATAATTGGAACCCCGTATGAGCAAGTTGTAAAAGGACCACAAAATCGAATTAAAAGCAAATCGAGAAGTAAAAAAAAAGTAGACGATGAAGAAACCATTGCAATGTTTGGTCCAATTCCTCGTGCAGATTCGAATCTGTTTAAAGGCATGTCTTTCCTTCTTACCTGTGCATCCGTAGAAACTATCGATCGATTTCAAGATGATAAAGATTCAGATCCAGGAACCGAAGATGAGATAGAATGGTCAAAAAAGCCTTTTATAAGAGATAGATTAAACAAGCAAATAGTGGCAGGTGGCGGAAAAGTCTACACTGACTTCAGTGAAATCCCACAAGATGAGTACAAAAATACAAAACTAATAACGAACGTGCCAAACACAACTGCGAAGAGTCTGTTGTGTCTTTCGGTTGGTATACCTGCTTATAATCATAATTGGATAATAAGATGTTGTCAGGAGGTAAGTACTGTAATTCTAGTACTCTTATACAAAAATTTATTATTTTTTGTAGCTTATAATTATCGTATTTTACAGGGAAAATTTGTAAATCCAGCAGAAGATGGATTACCAGCGGGATGGAGCTTAGATAAAAATTCATATATCGAAATGTTCCAAAGACAAAGCAACAAACCATTGACTCAGGTTGTTGTGATAATTCCAGTTGTAGAGTCTGAAAAACAATTTGCTCCATTTTGGCGCCAAATTTGTGAAAACGCAGGTGCTGTTATTATATTAGCGGACAAAGCAGGTATGAAAATTTTTTATGATGAAAACTTTGTGAATTGAAAATATAATATTAAGCATTAATACTAAATAAGACTTTTTATAAATTTTTAGATGTAATGGAAAATTTTGTACAGGGAACTGTAGTTCTTACAAATAGTTTGTGCCCATCCTGGGCAGCGGAGAAGGCTAA